CGCGGGCGCGGGCACGGCGCTGCGCCTGGCCTCCGCGACGAACTGCTCCAACATCATCTCCTTGTCAACCACCCGTAACTTCAGTGGAAACCGGTCCTCCTCCTGCTCCTCATCCGCACTTGCATCATCTTCTGGGGGAGCAGCAAGATACATTGAATGCAACGGTATGAGTGTGTATATACATAGAGAGATATAGATATAATATATATATATATATATATATGTAGAGAGAGAGAGAGAGAGAGAGAAAGAACAAAAAAAAGACAGAGTGAAAAAGAGAGAGAGAGAGAGAACGCCGTCTGGGGGCCACGGCCTGCAGTGGGCCCCGGCGACCCCAGAGCGCTCGCGCGCACCTGAGCATTGTGGCGACGACTACGCCTGGGCGACGACGACGACGAAGACGACTGAGCAGACGAGGACGCAAGACGATGACGATACCGACGCAACTACGACGTTGGCGACGACGACAGCGACACCGCCGACGCCGACTGGACGACGACTGCACGACTGGAAGAGTGAACAACTGCACGACGAAAACGAAGACGCCGACGCTGCAGACCACCACGACGACGCAGACAATAACGACGACGACTACGACGACGACGACGACGACGACGACGATGACGCAGACGACGAAAATTGGACGACTGGACGACGACGTCGACGACGACACGACGACTCTGACGCAGCCGACGACGTCGACGACGAGTGGCCGACGACGACGATAACTGCAAGGCGACGATTGGGCGACGGCGATAACGAAGACGACGGGGACGACAACGGGGGCGGCGACGAGTGGACGCAGACCGCGACGGCGACGGGGCCGGGGACGGCGACGACGACGGGAACGATGACGACGACCTGCGACATCTTCTTCCTCATCCTCCTCTTCCTTCGTCTCATCCTCCTCTTCCTTCTTCCTTCTTCTCTTCCTCCTCCTCCTCCTTCTTCTCTTCCTCCTCGTCTTTCTCCTCCTCCTCCTGCTCATCCGTGTCTCTCTCTCTTTCTCTCTCTCTACTCCGTGTTCGGCGCCTCGGAGCACGGATCAACACCAGAAGCGTAATCGACTAGGTCGTCTGGCATACTGTCCTCCTCCAATTCTTTCTGCTGCTCCTGTTTGCAAGATCTCTGCAATCACTGGCTTAACGCATGTGAGCGCCCAACGTGCCTGCGAGCACCCGAACATGGGCAATGACCCTGTGAGCGTCACACTTGCCCACGAGCACCAGACCGTGCCTGTGAGCACCAGTGTGCCTGTGAATCAGTGGTGCGCGCAAGCGCTGCGACCGCATCTGGAGGAGACGCTTTGGTGCATAATGCGCGCGCTGAGGCAGGGCCGAGGGCACACTGCGCCCGGCGGGGGGGGGGGGCGACAGTGCCCAAGACGATCTGTGGGGGTCTGGGGAGGGGGGGTGCAGTGGCCCGGACGCTATGATCGATGTCCTCGAAGATGGCCTCACGAGGGCATCACAAGCCCCCAAGAGAGCCCCGAAGGCATCTAAAATGGCTGGCCAAATCATGGCCCAAATGAACTTGCAAGAGGCTCTTATGTCGAAGATTCACGAAAGCATTCATGGTTAACTCCTGGATCTGCTCAGGCTGATCCTGAGCTTCGGTGTGACGGCTGCCGCCCCTATTTGCTCCACTGCTTGCTTTCACGCTTTCCTGATCAACGCATCTCACCTAAGTATCGTTTTTGAATGGTCTCGTGGGGATATGCGAAGCGTCAAGAATTGACGTCGTGACGTGCATATCGATTGAATGTGGATGTCATTCCCAGAATTGCATTCCGAAAACAATTCGACCTCTCATTCGATCGGCATGTCGATATGCAATTCGATGTGTTTTTGCGGTTGCATTTTGGTTTGCAACTCGACTTGTAACCGCAAGGATACCAGCGGAACAACCTGCAGGACAAACACGGGAAAACTCACGGGACAATACAGGGGACATTCCACGGGACAACCCACAGGACAACAACGGGACAACCCCCGGATAACCCACCCCACGGGACAACCCCGCGCGCCCACGGGAGACGGGAGGAGAATTATTGCTCGACGGAGCCTCAGCCTTGACCGACACATCATCGCCCTCGCGCAACTTCACCTCGCCCGCACGCGCGACACGAACTGGCACTGAAACCGACTTCCTGATTGGGGCCACTTACCCCCGAATCTCCGATCTCTGCGTCATTCTCTCAATACTCAAGCTGATCTCCTGCGCCTCAGGGTCCGGATCCAGTCCGTTGAGGAACTCCACAGCGTACCTGGACCCGCACGCATCTGGATAGGTTCGCGAGCTGATGGATGCTACGAAGAAGCACAGTAAGACTGCTGAAGCGTGTGCGTGGCCTGGGGTTGCCTTGGTTGAACGATGCGAAATCAAAATATCATGAATCTAGCGATGCGGAAATGCCAACGAGTGGCGGGGAGCCCCACAAGGCTGTCAGGAGGTGCCACAGAACATCAACAATGAAGCTACACTTCATACTACATACGAAAAGGCCTGGGGGTGCCTGGGCGCGTTACGAAAAACTTTTGGCTATTTTCGTGCCACACAGGAGCGAGAGCAGACAAAAGCAGCTTGGCAGCATCACGCTCTGCGTAGTCAGTCAACAAATTACGTCGGTTTGCTGCCAGAGATGATTGACCCAAAGCTGCTCAGTCCTGAGAATGACGCCGACCGACGATTGGACCGCACTGTGACATCGTGGCGTCATGGAACGAGCCAAAATTAACAGAAAGACGAAGGCCGATATTCAGCTCGACACACACGCAGGAACGAGATAATAGATGGAGGGTACGAGTAGCGAGGAGAGATGAGAGAGGCGAAGCTGTAGAAGGATAGCGGGAAGAGGGGTATAGGAGGCGTTGAGAAGAGAACAGAGGAGAAGGCATTAGAGGGGACAAGTAGTGGGAAACAAAGGATATAGAAGAGAGGATAGCGGCAGAAGTAGAGAGGATAGAGAAGGCACGATGCAGGAAAGAGGCCATGTGAAGTCAAGAGCGCCCACAGCAATTCGCTGGCCCCACGGGCCAGACCTGCTAGAATCTCCAATTCGCGCGTGCGTGGCGGCCCCCCGGAGTTCTCGTTGAGAATATACCCAGACGCTGTGGAACTTACCCAAACACGCCTCCGGCTCTCCTCCGCCTCGGAATGCGGAACTCTGGGGCGCGGCCTGAAAACCTGCCAAACGACCGCCGACATCCCTCCCTCTCATTCTTCCAGACCTTCCGTGCTGACCTTCCACCCTCTTGCGCTACCTCAAACGCTGAGTTATCTTGAATTGCGTAAAGTTTTCAATGGTTATAACGAATGGTTTGAGGTTCCAGCGAATTCCCGAAAAACGCAAAGACATTCTGAGACACCGCTCCTTCTCTCTTGTTTCCGCCGCCATCACAGCCTTCACCCTCATCATCATCCTCATCATCAGCATCATCATCATCATCATCACCATCATCATCATCCTCATCATCATCATCATCAGCAGCAGCATCAGCATCAACATCAGCATCAGCATCAGCATCATCAGCACCATCACCATCACCATCACCATCACGTCACGATCATCGCCAGTATTGCATTCGAGTGCTTTACTGCGCACTGCATCTCTAGGACGCATCTTCTTAATTAGCTGGTCGTTGAGGACCTGTCTGGGGGATGCGGGGCGGAGCGAGCGACCTCCTCAACCCCTCGCTCCTCCCCGCATCCCCCAGACAGGTCCTCAACGACCAGCTAAGTAAGAAGATGCGTCCTAGAGATGCAGTAGCAGTAAAGCACTCTGGTGCAATACTGGCGACGATCGTGACGTGATGGTGATGGTGGTGGTGGTGATGGTGATAATGGTGATAATGGTGATGATAATGAGGCTGATGATGCTGATGATGATGATGCTGATGCTGATGATGAGGATGATGATGATGATGATGATGAGGGTGAAGGCTGTGATGGCGGCGATATCAGGAGAAAAGGAGCGATGTCTCATAATGTCTTTGCGTTCTTCTGGCACTCGCTTTAACCTGATACAAGCACTTGAAGGTAGCGCAGGAGGTTGGAAGGTCATCATCATCATCAGCATCATCAGCAACAGCATCAGCAACAGCATCAGCATTAACATCATCATCATCAGTTGCCAGTCGCATGTTCTTATCCAGGGTCTTAGGGTTCAGGTATTAGGGTTAATGGTTTGAATGCGCTACATGCGTCGACGCATGGCGTCGGGTAGGGTGTCGACGTAGGGCGTCGGGTAGATCAACCAAGACTTGAGCGTATTGTATCAGCAAGTCTGGACCCCAAACGGCGTCATCTGGATATATTGTTATGTACTCGGTGGTGCAATCTACGTGGTGCAATCTATGTGGTGCAATCGTGCACGTGAGACACACGCCACACTTGACGCCGTCGCACCCGCAATGTGCGAACCGACGTGGGCGACGACGGGCGACCCCGCACCGACGCGCGCCAGCCCGCGCATCACGCGGGTGCGGGTGGATGACAGTTGGGCGGGGCCACCCGTCATCGCTCACGTCATCGCAGATGACGGGTGCGATGGCGCCTCAGATATTGGGCGCCATGGGATAGCATTGAGAGGGTGGGGATGGGCAAAAGGAGGAGGAGGATCAGGAGGAGGAGGAGGAGGATGAGGAGGATGAGGAAGAGATGAGACGACGCGAAGAGCCATGGAATCCACAACTGTCAGAACGATGAAACAGCTTTACACACGATTCACGCTCCTCAGCTGTGGCACTGGCCCGTCGGCACCTGTGAGGCTGGCTCCTTCCTCATCATGGTTCCTCTTCCTCTCCCTCCTCGTCTCCTCATCCCTCATCCCCTTTCTACTTTATTGGTATTCACTTCCGCCTCCGACCTGTTGTGCTGTAAAATATGATGCCCCCCCATTGGGCAAGGGCGCACGCGGCAGCAGTGAACAGCCGCGGCGCAAAGGCGCAAACACGCCATTGGGGAAACAGCTCGGGGCGGAGGCATGCGACTCACCACAATCACTGCGGCCCGTCTAGGACGTCGTCCTCGAGCGTCGTCGCCTCCGTGGTCGGCTGCACGTCGTTCCAGCCCCTGGCCAGAGAGACGGGCGAGCTGTGGTCGGGGTACTCCCAGAGGGGCTCGAGCTTCGGGTCGACGATGGCGAAGTACCAGAGATTCTTCCACACGTCATCATCGTCCGCCAGGGGGTCGCCCTTGGCCAACCCGCTGTCGTTGCGGAAGATGCGCACGTCATTGATTAGTTGGAAACCGTTCGGCAGTGCCAGCTGGGTCACGAGCCACGTCTTCAGGACGGCACACGACACGCAGTCGCCGCGACCAGCCAGCACAGGGTTAGGAACTTTGATGAACCCCCACGCGCCCGTATCCTGAATCTTCACCGTGAACGTCCAGATGGGCTCGCAGCTCACGCCAGAAACGATGCTCTCAGCATGAGGGTCCAGCAATGAACTCTTCGATGCGATGAGATTGATCGTGCGATACGTGGACGGGTGGACAACGTACTCGTCCCACAGCGGGTGCTTCGCCACGGCCGGGTGGGTTTGAGAAGCCTCGTAGATGTAGATGTCCGCATCCCAGTCAGCGTACACCGAGTAGTCTTTTTTTGATGCTCTCCTTGATCATCTTCACCTCGACGCCGCTGGACCACGACAGGTTGGTACCGACCTCCGCAATCACTGGCCCGAAACACGCCAGCTCCTCGAAGTAGATGCTGAGCTTCAGCATGCCCGTAGTCGCACCCGACACCGCAATGTATTCAGTCGCAACCATCGCACCTGCCTCGGGCGAACGCCTTGGGCGAAAGCGTTGGGTAGGGCGGCGGGTGCGGCGTCGAACGTGCACGAGCTTGAGCCACAATGTTTTATTCACGGGTGTTGTGCTGTTGAGCGTGTTGCTTTAGCCTTGGTCGGGTGCGGCACCCAAACAGTGCTCCAACCCCAAACACACGGGGCGTGGACCCCAAACAGTACGTGGACCCCAAACAGCGCTAGACCCCAAACAGCGCTTCGACCCCAAACAGAGCGGAATTCGACGCACGGCATTCGCACACGGCACCGCAATCCGATGCACGACACGGCACCGCAAGGGTGATGTTGGTGACGGTGAGTTTGACGGTGGTGGTGGTGATGATGACGATTGTTGCATTTTCAGGCATGGCACTTTTGCAAACGCTTCATGTACCATTTGACGGCGGCGTTCTCTGTATACTTGGTCCTGTTCACATTCACTGACATTTTCCTGGCATGAAAAGTTTCAGATTCACCTGCGTAGTTGTGTGTCCAACCTGGGTTGCCCGCGAAACGGGCTTGGCCCGCGATATGTCTGGCGAACGCGTGAAATTTTATGGTGACGGTGCGGCCGCTGTCGGCCCAGGCGGCCGTCGTACGTTTGACGACGGCGTCCATGTGCGCCAGCGCGGGTTCGTCCATCCGACGAGGCTGGCTTTTACATATACCATAAAACTCAAGCATGCCTTCGCCGAAGGTTTGAAGTTTAGTTCCATCTGCGCCATCTGCAGCGCCATCCAACAGGGCCCGCCCTCCAGCATTCTTCAGGAGATGCACGACGAAGCCGAGGAGTGAGCGTGTCTTGCCAGCCTTGAGTTTCAGACATGGGTGTTCCCTGCCGCCGCGCGCCTTCATGCACAAACCAAGGACCTTGTCGTTTTGAATGCGACCCTGCTGCTTCCACCAATGCATGTACATGTCGTGCAAGGCAGCGTCTACATGTGAAAAATCGTCCTCCGTGAAATCACCAAAAAAACCCAGCGTCTGTCAGAGCCCAGATTGTAGCACCGTGGTAATAATGCAACATTCCGAGCTCGCAGACGTGCATAGTATCCAATAGGAAATGACCTAGCCGAAGTCCTGGAACCCCCTCTTGGATGCCACTGACGCAGAACAACCTGCTCACAAACAGGATGCTGTTTTTGGGTCGTCTGAACACTAGGACTTTCCGACGCTCGACAGGGTACGTATCGACGGGTCCCAGGTGCCACACGTCGGGGTACTTTGGCAGCGAAGGCTCGATGCGGTCGCCACGTCGCAACGACGGGAAAGCAGCTCGCATCTGACGTTGCACAATGATGCCTCCTTTCTTTGTTCGCGCCTTGCAGTTGTCTCTCAAGACCTGGACTGTGTCGTGTGTAACGCTGTGAAACGAAAAGAAGATTCGGCTGTGTCAATCAGCCGCTGGTGTTTCCTCTTGCGCAGCGGCGCATTCAAATCACTAAAAAGAATATTGTGTTGGAAACAGGCAATGCACCCATAGTTGCTTCTGTAATCGGGGAGGCCGAAACTTTTTCCCAGCTCGTCCATGTCAGCTGCAACTTCGACCAGGGCGACCCTGCAATTTCCATAGCCGTGTCTTGATGGAAACAACGGCTTGGTTGCAACACGAGCCCTCCAACTTGTCGGGGGCCACGGATTCCCCCCGCTGTCGAATCTGGGCCACTCCCCGAGGGCTGCAGTTCGAAAGTCGAACGGAATCTTATCAAACAGAGCTTGCACTGCGTGGGCGCCGCGGCAAGAGCATCGGCACATCATTCGGGCGTGGAACTGGCCGACAAGGATGCGTTCCCGCTGGTGGAGCGTCGCAGCGAAAATCCGCCGCCCCGTGTAAAGGGGCACTACGCAGGGCGAATATATTGAGAACGCCACTGTTACTCGGACTCGCTCAGGCGAGGGGCAGGGCGAGTAGGGGAAGGAGGATGAGGAGGGGGAGGAAGGGGAGGGGGGGCAGGAGGAGGAGGAGGAGGGGAGGAGGCGGAGGAGGGGGAGGGAAAGAGGAGGAGAGGAATATGTGGGAGAAGGAGGCAGCGCGCGCCCCCCCCCCCCCCCCCCCCCCCCCGCCTGCCACAGCTCCCCCCCCCCCGCTCGCTTCATGGCTGCATAGGGGGTTCCACTGAAGTCCTTAGTTGGTGGGGTGGGGCAATGTGCATCCCCCTCGCGCGTTTCGTGGCCTCATTATGGCGCCCACTCAAGGCCGCCGCGGGCGCGGCCGCGCGCGCGCGCCTACCGCCGCCCGCCGGAAGGGAGGTGCGCACCCCCCCCTCCCCCTCCCCCCCCTCCCCCGCCACCGCGTGCGCGTGTTTCGCGGGTGCATGTAGGCCAGTTCCACGCAAGGCGTCACATGGGGGTGGCCGCGTCAAGGCCTCAGCTGGGGAGCTCGGAAGTTCCGCAGCTGGGGGCTTCCGCGCAAGGCTTCTGCTGGGGGGTTCCACGCAAGTTCGCCGCGGGCGCGTGGTGCGTTTTATATTTTCCAACGTGGAAGCGTCGCACTGTTGGCCATGAAAATGGATGCTTGACGGTGGCCGTCTGGATTTTGACGCGATTGCATGGTTTCCCCCAGCTAAATGGAGAAGAGCAGCGTTTGCTTGGAGATTAATTGCTTAAACGTGCACGGTGCGATTCTGAAGTAACCTTTCGAGTTTCTCTGTAAGCAAAAAGCCAGCAGAGCTGCCAGCCTGGATTCTCAAGTGAACCCTTGGGGGTGACCGACGGGCGCGCGCGGGCGACGAGTATCACCAGGGTGCACGAGCGTGGTGATTTTTGCATTGTCCGTGATGAAAAGTTTGCCATGTTGGTTTGGAAATTAAAGTGAACCCTTAACTGTGACCGATTGGAGTTTGAAGTTGGCACGTGTGTTGCGCGTGTGTTTGTATGTGTTTCAAACAGGACGGGGGAAGTTATCGCACTTGCGCGCGCGCGCGTGGGGAGAGTTCTGCATTGTCCACGATCGATAAGTTGCATTGTTAGCTTGGGAACTAATGTGGGCCCTTAACGATGGCATATTTGTTTCTGAAGTGAACATTGTTGCTGGTGCGCGTGCGCAGCCATGATCGACGCCGAACTGTCCACGCGCGCGCGCGGTGAGGCCTGGGCAATAAAATGATCGGCAGGATTTCGGGTGCCCCGCGCCGTGGGCGGGTCGCCCGCGGCGCGCGCGTTTGGGGCCAGTTCTGCGTTGCCAGCAATCTCAAACGTCGCAGTGCGGGCTGGAAATCAGCGAACCCATCACGGCAACCAATTGAATTATGCGCGAACGTGCGCTTCTCAATTTTTCAACATGGAACGGTCTCAATGTTGGCTTGGCAATTGAGCTTAGCGCAAAGTTTGGCATGTGTGTGCGTTTCGGTGTTCGTTTTGGCCAGGAAGAGAACTTGCCATGTTTGCTTGGGGTCTACAGTGGGGCACTGAAGGATGGCCGACGGACGCGCGCGGGTGGCGCGTGTCATCCGCGCGCGCGCGCGTGGTGCGTTCTTATTGTCCGCAATGGAACGGTCGCCGTGTTGGTTTGGAAACTAAAGTGAACCCTTAGCGGTGGCGGGTTGGATTTTGAAATTGATATGGTTTCTGGTGGGTGTGCCCTGCCATGACCAACGCAGAGCCCACTTCGCGCGGGCGCGGTGGTCTCTGCATCATCCGCAATAGCAGAGTCGCCGCTTTGGTTTTGAAACCAAAGTGAACCTTGAACGCTGACCGATTGGATTTTGAACTTAACATGTGGCTTGGTGCATGGCCCATGACATGACCAAGACAGAGCTCCGCGCGCGCGCGCCGTTGGGAATCTGCATTGTCCACGACAGGACGGCCCCATGGTGGTATGCATGTTTAACTTACCCCTTGGCCCAGGCCGATTCGATTTTTGAGGTTCTCATGGGTTTTGTTGCCTGCGTTCTCTGATGGCGCGCGCGCTCATTGGGTGCGCTGCGTTGCCATCCATAGAAAGGTCACCGTGCTGGCCTGGCAAACCAAGTAAACTCTTAACTGTGACCGATTGAAACTTTGAGTTAACATGGGCGTCGCTGTGCCATGTCCCTGGCGGGCCAAATAGAGACTCGCGCGCGCGTGCCCTGCGGGGGTTATTTGTTGCCCACAATTGAAAATCGCCGTATCGACCAGGGAACTTCGATGTCGCGCGCCGTCGAGCGGGGCGCGGGCTTTCTGCAGCGGCACTGCTGTCGCTCGCCGCGCATGGGGAGGGGGGGGGGGGTCCTGAAAGAGCCCCGAGCGTGCAACCCTACGTGCTCGGGGATGTGTGTGTGTGTGTGTGTGCGTGCGTGCGTGCGTGCGTGCGTGCGTGCGTGCGTGCGCGTGCTTGTGTGTGCGCGCGTGCGTGCGTGCGTGCGTGTGTGTGTCTGCGTGTGTGCGTGCGTGCGTGTGCGCGTGTGTGTGTGTGTGTGTGTGTGTGTGTGTGTGTGTGTGTGCGTGCGTGTGCGCGTGCGTGTGCGTGTGTGTGTGTGTGTGTGTTGTGTGTGTGCGTGTGTGTTGGGGGTGGGTGGGTGGGTGGGTGGGCGGGTGGGCGGGCGGCGGCGGCGCGTGGGTGGGCGTGGGGGGGCAGTTCCGATGCCGCGCGCGGCTTATGGGTGCCGAGGAATTCGAAGGGGCCCGAAGACCACAACCAAATATTGAGGACACCTCGGGGCCCTTACATGCGGGCGATGCCAGGGGGCCAGCGACGCCCAGATGCACCCCGATGGGCCAGCGAATATCGCGCGGCACCACCAACACCGCACGGTACCTTCCCAGAGCGCAACAACTTCTCCAGGGGTTCTGAGCTACATATGCCTGTGGTATCTGATGAAATCGTAAGGGGCACCAGGCGGAATCATGAAGCACCCGATGTAGTTCTCATTGGTAGAGAACCCGAGGGGGCCCGCATAAATTTGGGAAACCCGACGACATCACGTGGAACCCCGAAGCATCTCGTTGGAATTCAAAGTAATCTTGGGGAACTTGAAAGAATTCAGAAGAACCTTGGGCAACCCA